ACAAAGCCACGACTTCACCCAAGTAATAGGAAACAGAGATAAAAATTAAAAAAAAGAATTTTTAATGGCACAATTCATTTGAGTGTGAGGTACTAATGGGAAGATACAGCTCATTTGCGTGCCTTCATTTTCTTCCTGGTCTCTTTCCCTGGCCGTTTCTATAAAAAAAAAAGAGAGAGAGAGAGATGAAAGCATGTGAGGGGGGTCTTTAAAATGTTAGAATATAACAGTACTGATGTAAGGTCCTTGATTATTACGCCGGAATGAGAATATAGTTCCTAGCCATATCAGCCTTTTCATTTTCCATCGGTCTTAGTACACGATGTAACTACATAAGAGTCAAGTTTTAAATAGGAAAAATATAGAAACTCTTTGGTCATTTTTGAGCGAGATGCTAATGGTCTAATCAGATTCAATGATCTATGCTAAGCTACAGCTAAAAGTTCTACCGCCAGACCCGGAGATCGGCTGAATGGATTCGAAAACGGTAAAACTCAACGGTTTAACTCTAGGGGAGTTGGAAAATGAGTATTTTCAAAAATAGTGGAGTGTTCCTTTAATACAAACATAAAATATTCGCGCTCGGGCAACATGGAGAAGTCTTTTGAAAAATACAAAGGTGTTTGTCAAAAAAAAGAACAAAGCCACGACTTCACCCAAGTAATAGGAAACAGAGATAAAAAAAAAAAAAAAAAAGTATTTTTAATGGCACAATTCATTTGAGTGTGAGGTACTAATGGGAAGATACAGCTCATTTGCGTGCCTTCATTTTCTTCCTGGTCTCTTTCCCTGGCCGTTTCTATAAAAAAAAAAGAGAGAGAGAGATGAAAGCATGTGAGGGGGGTCTTTAAAATGTTAGAATATAACAGTACTGATGTAAAAAAATAAATAAATAAAACACTTACATTCGTCTTGCCTCCTTTGCCGAATTGTTTCCCACCTTTCCCATGAGCCATTCTGGCCTTGAATCCTGAAACGTCATCATGGCTGTCTTTGGTGTTCCATTTGCTGCCCTTCTTCTTTCCCCCAAAGCCAAACTTCTTATCCTTGTATTTCTTCTTAGAATTTGGACTAAAAAACATGACATGAGAATGAGAATAAAAATAACTACATGTTAAAATATTCCCCAAAATATATTATTTTGTGTCACACAAAAGAAAGTAAGAAACAATGGAAGGAGTGACATGAGGGGGAGTAAACAACAATTTTCATTTTTGGGTGAAATACCTCTTTTTAAGTAGTTAAACAGTACAAGCTACCAACAAAAGAAGAAGCCAATTATATTAACGCTTTCTATGAGGGCAATACATCTTACATGTACATCTGTCTGATCATTGATCATATAATCAGATTGCAAATTAGATTAGTATACATGTGTGTGTGTGTGTGTAATGTAATTACAGAAATGATCGCAACTTTCACACACATTTGATCAACAGATATACTGCGCGCTCTGCAATGCTCTTGTTAACGTTGTGGATGTTTCAGCAAACAGTTTTCTTCGTACAGATGAACAGCATTAAAAAGGGACAACATTTATAAAATGCAATAAACGCATGAGCATATTGCTCAGGCAATGTTAATGATATGACCCATTTCAGGAGCTGCCAAAATTATGAATAAAAAAAAAAAATCAATCATAGCCGTGAAATCTACCATCATAAGTTTCATAATACAAGTAGACTTCTTTCTGTGACCCCTGAACATCTTGTTAAGGTTGACAGCATTACATTTGACCAGATAAATGTCAACTAATTACAACAACAAAAAAATCTTTGGTGTTCCATTTGCTGCCCTTCTTCTTTCCCCCAAAGCCAAACTTCTTATCCTTGTATTTCTTCTTAGAATTTGGACTAAAAAACATGACATGAGAATGAGAATAAAAATAACTACATGTTAAAATATTCCCCAAAATATATTATTTTGTGTCACACAAAAGAAAGTAAGAAACAATGGAAGGAGTGACATGAGGGGGAGTAAACAACAATTTTCATTTTTGGGTGAAATACCTCTTTTTAAGTAGTTAAACAGTACAAGCTACCAACAAAAGAAGAAGCCAATTATATTAACGCTTTCTATGAGGGCAATACATCTTACATGTACATCTGTCTGATCATTGATCATATAATCAGATTGCAAATTAGATTAGTATACATGTGTGTGTGTGTGTGTGTGTGTGTAATGTAATTACAGAAATGATCGCAACTTTCACACACATTTGATCAACAGATATACTGCGTGCTCTGCAATGCTCTTGTTAACGTTGTGGATGTTTCAGCGAACAGTTTTCTTCGTACAGATGAACAGCATTAAAAAGGGACAACATTTAAAAAATGCAATAAACGCATGAGCATATTGCTCAGGCAATGTTAATGATATGACCCATTTCAAGAGCTGCCAAAATTATGAATAAAAAAAATATCAATCATAGCCGTGAAATCTACCATCATAAGTTTCATAATACAAGTAGACTTCTTTCTGTGACCCCTGAACATCTTGTTAAGGTTGACAGCATTACATTTGACCAGATAAATGTCAACTAATTACAACAGCAAAAAAAATATACAGCGGATATACAGCCAAATTCACTTAACCACAATTACAAAACAGCATTTAACTAAATATTTCTCAAGAAACATTTCTGATTATTATCAATGTTGAAAACTGCTTAATATTTTTGTGAAAACTACCAATTTTCTCAGCATTCTTTGAGGAATAGAAAGAACAGCATTTATTTGAAATAAAAATATTTTGTAATCTTCCTTACTGTTAACTTTGATCGATGTAATGAAAAAACGAAACAAAAATGTATTCATTTCTTTCAAAAAATAAATAAAATCCATATTACTGACTGCAAACTTTTGAACGGTAGCATATATTCTCATGTCCTGAGGTTACTGGCTCTCCTACTTCCACGGTGTACTGGACAAAGTGCTTTCTATAAAGCCTGGCCGTCATGTGATTTTCTCACCTTCTGCATGTGCTGATCAGTCTTGGCCATCTCTGCAAAGTAATCCTCAGGTCTCTTGGTAGGAATCTTGAACTTGTGCAGTTTTGGCAGCGCCGCTAAAACAGTTGCTTGGGCCTGCCGGTAGCTGTAACATATCAAAAATACTGAAGCACAAGACAAAGTTCCCAAACATTATAGTGTAAAATTACAGCAATTTTTCTCCCCAAAACCACCAAATCTTTTACACCAAAATTTACTGCAAACTCACTTCACAACATCAGTCGAGCATTTAAAAATAACTTCCTATTGTGATCTTACGTGGAATTATATCACAGAATGAGGCAGAAAATATATTATTTTATAGTATTCTGTACTGTAATAAAGGCTATGTTGATTAGCATTGCATTATAAATATCATTTATTCTTAAGAAAACACCCAAGACGAAATACTCCAGGAACTGGTTTGGCCAACCCTGCCTTTGTCTATATTAGGGACTTCCTCATAGCAAAGTAATCCTCAGGTCTCTTGGTAGGAATCTTGAACTTGTGCAGTTTTGGCAGCGCCGCTAAAACAGTTGCTTGGGCCTGCCGGTAGCTGTAACATATCAAAAATACTGAAGCACAAGACAAAGTTCCCAAACATTATAGTGTAAAATTACAGCAATTTTTCTCCCCAAAACCACCAAATCTTTTACACCAAAATTTACTGCAAACTCACTTCACAACATCAGTCGAGCATTTAAAAATAACTTCCTATTGTGATCTTACGTGGAATTATATCACAGAATGAGGCAGAAAATATATTATTTTATAGTATTCTGTACTGTAATAAAGGCTATGTTGATTAGCATTGCATTATAAATATCATTTATTCTTAAGAAAACACCCGAGACGAAATACTCCAGGAACTGGTTTGGCCAACCCTGCCTTTGTCTATATTAGGGACTTCCTCATAAGTTATATGTGACCCTGGAGCACAAAAGCAGTCTTAAGTAGCATGGGTATATTTGTAGCAATAGCCAACATTACATTGTATGGGTCAAAATTATTGATTTTTCTTTTATGCCAAAAATCATTAGGATATTAAGTAAAGATCCCCTTCCATGAAGTCATTTTGTAAATTTCCTACCGTAAATATATCAAAACGTACTTTTTGATTAATAATATGCATTGCTAAGAACTTCATTTGGACACATTTAAAGGTGATTTTTTTCAATATTTAGATTTGTTTTTAACCCTCAGATTCCAGATTTTCAAATAGTTGTATCTCGGCCAAATATTGTCCAATTCTAACAAACCATAATTCAATGGAAAGCTAATGTATACATCTCAATTTCAAAAAATTGACCCTTATGACTGGTTTTGTGGTCCATGGTCACATATTACTTATGTATTTATCATATTTAGACTTTTTGAGCAAGGATGCCCTACAACTTCCAATATTAAATTAAACATAAATAACGTGTTTATAGCGCACCCTAATGCTCACAGCACCCTATTCTGTGTAAAAAAAACAATACTTCTCTCTAAAGAAATTTTAAAGGGGTCATATGATGCGATCTTTTTTTCTTCAAATAAGCACACTTTTTTTTTCTCTCAGTGAATGTATAAGATATCTGTGCTTCTTATTAAAGGCATGGTCTCAGTTTATTTTGCATACTTCTTGTCAAAAATTAACTACTGTCAAAGACGTGAATCAACAATATTTTATAATAACTCCTTTAAGTAAACATTATAAGTCAAGCAGCATCCTTGTTTTACACACTTACAAGTACATCTCCCTCTGAAAGTCATCCTCTGCACTGACGTCTTCACTACCTTCAGGTTGCTGCGCTCTGCCCTCCGCTTTTGCAACAATGTCAACAGCTGGGTAGTTAGTGAGGTCCAGCCTTTCAGCCCACGGCAGGTTCCTCTTAAACTCAGCCAGACATTTCCTAAGACCCTCCTGAATGATGTAGAATAAAATCATTACAGATATTTTATTGGACTTCTCAACAAATCATTTCAATTGATATATTACTAACTCTATAAACCATACAGTATCATATTTGATATGAATTTCTAAGGCCTCTAAATTAGCGACATTATCAAATCGGTTATACACAATCTTCTACATGCATTGTAATCTAATTTATTCATACTTTTTAAAATTATTTTTATAAAGTAAACGTAAAAAATAACTTTCATGTTGTTAGAAATATTGATTGACTAAAGCATTTTAGGTTTACTTGATTATCCATACAGAATTTCTTAGAAAAAAACACGTTAAAAAATATTAAATATGACAGGCTTTTGAGGAATTTTCACTCAATCATCATTGTACTGACTGCATTATACGCTTTGCCTTCCAAAATAAAAACATTACATATAATCTTACCATGCCATATTATTGGGAGATATAGAGTGCCAACTAAAATTAATATGCATTTTAGATAAGTAGTCTGTTATACGGCTAGAAAGATATCAGTGTTTTACATTACAAACTATCAAAATCTTAATTTTTGGTCATATCAATTTCAGCATCTACACCAAGATAGCATATTTTTGCTCAGTTTGGATGTTTTTTTTTTTTCTATATCACACCATATGGGCTATAAAATGCTGAAGCAATGAAGCAAAATTTTTAAAATCTTTAAATTTCATATGTCAGACCTCACAGGATAAAATTCTCCCCAAAACTTACCACATTGTTGATGGCCTTCTTTGGCTCGAGCAGAGGAACATTCAATCCAGGTTTGAGCAAACCCTTGGCGAAAGCTTCTTGCAGCTGATCAGAGACAAACGTGTTATGCAAACATATTGTTTTGGATCTCTTACCTACTTTGTTCACTTATGTAGCACGACAAGTTGCTGTAATATAAAACGGTAGGCCTACTGCTTGAACAAAACACATGAAATGCACTATATTCTCACCTCGCCGTCTGATAATTCGTCGTCGTCTTCCTCGGACTCAAACCCCATCTGGGGATCCTCATCTATTTCTACCATTGTAAGTGAATACAGAACGGGAATTGGACAAATAAATACAGTAACAGAAGAATTCACAACACCCCCAAGCTTCACGTGTGGACAACACTGTTTCTCACTAGTGTGCGTAACATTAAAGCCCTGACGGAAACAGAGAACGGCAAAAGAATGGTTCCGCTACCGGAAGACCTGGCGCCTCGTTCTTCAGGTTTATGGCAGCGCATAATCTATCATTTTATTTATAGAAAGCATATAACAAAATAAAAACGTTTAAACCCCAGAGTTATTAACACACTAACACACTGTCCCCCTCAGTGTTAACACGTTTGTGTTCAGGTAAAATAGGCCAGGGAATCTGCAGCCTACAGGAAAACCACCATATGAACAAATAACCGAATGCTCTTTTAATAATTTAATTTACAGCAGGGCCGCTGCTGGCCAAATGGGTGCCCTAAGCAGATTAGTATTGTTGTGCCCCCTCCCTCAAAAAAGAAAAAAAAACACCTACTGTAAGGGGTCAAAATAGAACTTTAATAAAATATCAAAGTAAATAAATAAATTGTTTTATTTATAAATTACAATTGTAGCTCTAGACAGTTACCTATGGCTATGATTTTATTAATACAGCCGTCCGGTTGATTTTTATAGCATGGCATTATAATGTATCAAATGTGTGGAGGTGTAAGCACTTATAAATCCCCATAAAATAAAGCCAACTTGCCAGTTAGCCTACTTCTTGAATATGCACAGCCCTGATAATGATATAAAACTATATTGTCAGCGCACCATGGTTCTACGAATGAATTGGGTTCTATGCATGTTACATGTTAAGCTATTCAGCCATTCTTAATGACGGAAACTGATTCTTGTCCTGTGGAACATTACACTGTAGTATTACAGCCTTTATCTGTCAATTGAACCTGCTGATTCATCAGAATTTGCTATTAGCCCTGACCATCACAAAATCATGAAACTAAGCATGTTTCCTAAAAATGACTGAAATTAGGTTTTTGACTTGCACATGAGATATAAGCATATTAGTCACCCTGTGGCCCATTTTCACAGAATTGAATACACATATAGCAACTGTACATTTTCACACAATGTACCGTACATCCTTTTTTTGTCTTGGTAGGCCATTCAGACTTGATATTATTAACCACTGAAATTGTATTGGTTGCTGCCAGCCGTTTTTGTTGTTTTGTACAAATGACTGTACAATTCATTAATTGATTTAATTTTCCTTTGATCAAACTGTTGCAGAGTTATGACAGGATTTAGTTGTAATGATTTTGAAGCATATTTAAATTGTCCTGTTGTATTGTCTGTGTGCCTGCCAAACAGTGCAGTACCTTCGGTGCTTGGACCCCTAAATAGAATTGATTTGTAAAAAGAGCTTTTAATTGTAGTTGTGTTTTACATGAAGTGTTTGTAGATGTGTCTTCAGCTGTAGTATATTGTAGGAAGTGAATGAAGCTTGTGGAAGATGACTTTATACTGGCGATGAAACACCAGGCAGCTCTCGTTCACAGACTATACACTGTAAAAAATGACTGTGAATTTAACGGTAAAAGATTGTAAAAATGCTACAGTAAAAACCTGTTAAATGGTTAACAGTAAATTCCCCTACTATATACGGTGAAAAACTGTATTGGACATTACATGTATTAGACATTAATTTTACGGTAGTATACCGTTTTTGGAAGTGAAAAATACCGTATAATTTACAGTGAATAACCGTAAATTGACATTCCCAGAATTCCCTGCATTACATTTCAAATTTGATGTTGTTTTGTTGAAATAACTATGTTTCTTCTTAGTTTTTTCTTATCAGCTTTGTATATTAGGGTTGTGTGTTACACCTAATGTTGTTAAATGAATATTTATTGCATTATTTCAGTTTCATGTGTTAGCATGATGCTGTTTAGCGTTTGTGTGAATGACACTGTGCACCTTCTTTATGTGATATTTTATAAAAGCTGCTTGTGATGGGCTTTGGTTCATCATGTGATTTTCTCATCACCGCCTGCATTTGGTGGTTATCAGTATAATACAAAAGTACAAAACAGATTTCAGTACTTCAATAGGTTGGTATATTAACAATACATCAGTTAATGAAATTACGGTATTTAACTGTAAATTTAAGTTAAAACCGTAAGACCTAAAACATTGCTACTGTATTTTCTACGGTAAAATTCCTGCAACCACAGCTGCCGTTTTTTTACCGTAAATTTTACGGAATTTTTTTTTACAGTGTAGATGATGTGGTAGAATGAGCTGTGGAAGTGTACTGAGGTATAGGATGGTGCTCTTGTTCAGTTGCAGAGATACAGTGATTAAAATGAGTCAAATGAAACACATGATTATTTTCTTGTAATAAAAATGTGGGTTACTGAACATTACCGTGTTAATTTACTGGTGACACATGACCCACATTTACCACTGTGGCGGCTCAAACAGTGCATGTAGATGTACTCATGAACAACATGGAATAGAGATGACCAGTATTAGAGTGATTGAATTTGGAATTAATGTGATATTTCAACAGAAGTTAATCATTTTTGGTGTATTTGGGCATTTTTATAGATGGTTTTTACATGTACCAGCAAATACCTTGTACGGTTAGTTGCACACAAACTCCATAGACTCCAATACTAGTCTATGCTCCATTTAAATGTTTATATCTGGAGTTTAAAAAGCAGCTGAATATAATTATCTATTCTAATACATCCAAATGCAAACATTTCTCATTTCTATTAGAGTGTTCATAAACGCAGGCTATCTGGTCACTTCAGCATTAGCTAAACAGAGAAAAAGAGCGAAAAATCAAAAGGCTTTCTTTCTTATTTGCATCACACCAGTGGAAATCACTTTCCGAGCAGATTTCATAAAAATATCCAGACTGAATGTTAGGATCCAAACACAAGAGAGCAGCAGAGCATCACTTAGGCTACTTCGTTCATCACTGAAAACTGAAAGACCACTGAACTGTAAAAAATCCCAAATTTAATTTTGTTCAATTTCACAGGGTTATAACTTCGCAGGGCTCTGTATTATGGGTCTCTGCTTTGTATGGGCGCTGTTTTTATTTATTCACTCACTCAGCCACTCAGCCCTATATCTATCTTCGGTTTACCAAACTCTGTTTTATTTTCTCTTTCTAGTTTTATATAATTTGTATAGTATTTTTTTATTATAATACTGATTAGGCTTGGGTTTATCAAATACATAATAAGCTTGAATATCATTATTTATCACCTATTATTGGTGTGAAGTCATACTTGCAGATGTTTGTTGATGTTAAAATGGATGGCTAAACAAGCTTATTTATGGCAGCCGTAAATACTTCATTTTTACGGCTATAATAAGCATTCGTAATTCGTAAATAGTCGAATATACGGGCACATTTATCGTCGAAGTTTACAGAGAAGCCAGTTTTGGGGACTTTTTCTGTCAGGTTGGTGTTTGATGTGGGCGGGGAAATGGGCGTGGTCTGTCGTCTTGGAGGACGCAGACGCGGTAGCTTGTTGTTACCATAGTAACGAGCTAATCAACACTGCAGCGTTAGATGCAGAGCAAACAAACCAACCCGCTTAAATCTTTCTTTTCTACAAAGTGTTGGCTAATGTACAAAACAGATTTCAGTACTTCAATAGGTTGGTATATTAACAATACATCAGTTAATGAAATTACGGTATTTAACTGTAAATTTAAGTTAAAACCGTAAGACCTAAAACATTGCTACTGTATTTTCTACGGTAAAATTCCTGCAACCACAGCTGCCGTTTTTTTACCGTAAATTTTACGGAATTTTTTTTTACAGTGTAGATGATGTGGTAGAATGAGCTGTGGAAGTGTACTGAGGTATAGGATGGTGCTCTTGTTCAGTTGCAGAGATACAGTGATTAAAATGAGTCAAATGAAACACATGATTATTTTCTTGTAATAAAAATGTGGGTTACTGAACATTACCGTGTTAATTTACTGGTGACACATGACCCACATTTACCACTGTGGCGGCTCAAACAGTGCATGTAGATGTACTCATGAACAACATGGAATAGAGATGACCAGTATTAGAGTGATTGAATTTGGAATTAATGTGATATTTCAACAGAAGTTAATCATTTTTGGTGTATTTGGGCATTTTTATAGATGGTTTTTACATGTACCAGCAAATACCTTGTACGGTTAGTTGCACACAAACTCCATAGACTACAATACTAGTCTATGCTCCATTTAAATGTTTATATCTGGAGTTTAAAAAGCAGCTGAATATAATTATCTATTCTAATACATCCAAATGCAAACATTTCTCATTTCTATTAGAGTGTTCATAAACGCAGGCTATCTGGTCACTTCAGCATTAGCTAAACAGAGAAAAAGAGCGAAAAATCAAAAGGCTTTCTTTCTTATTTGCATCACACCAGTGGAAATCACTTTCCGAGCAGATTTCATAAAAATATCCAGACTGAATGTTAGGATCCAAACACAAGAGAGCAGCAGAGCATCACTTAGGCTACTTCGTTCATCACTGAAAACTGAAAGACCACTGAACTGTAAAAAATCCCAAATTTAATTTTGTTCAATTTCACAGGGTTATAACTTCGCAGGGCTCTGTATTATGGGTCTCTGCTTTGTATGGGCGCTGTTTTTATTTATTCACTCACTCAGCCACTCAGCCCTATATCTATCTTCGGTTTACCAAACTCTGTTTTATTTTCTCTTTCTAGTTTTATATAATTTGTATAGTATTTTTTTATTATAATACTGATTAGGCTTGGGTTTATCAAATACATAATAAGCTTGAATATCATTATTTATCACCTATTATTGGTGTGAAGTCATACTTGCAGATGTTTGTTGATGTTAAAATGGATGGCTAAACAAGCTTATTTATGGCAGCCGTAAATACTTCATTTTTACGGCTATAATAAGCATTCGTAATTCGTAAATAGTCGAATATACGGGCACATTTATCGTCGAAGTTTACAGAGAAGCCAGTTTTGGGGACTTTTTCTGTCAGGTTGGTGTTTGATGTGGGCGGGGAAATGGGCGTGGTCTGTCGTCTTGGAGGACGCAGACGCGGTAGCTTGTTGTTACCATAGTAACGAGCTAATCAACACTGCAGCGTTAGATGCAGAGCAAACAAACCAACCCGCTTAAATCTTTCTTTTCTACAAAGTGTTGGCTAATAATTTTGTCAGATGGCTACTGTAGTGGCACAGTCTCATTATATATTCGGATTGCGGACAGGAGTGAGGAATAATTTATTGTATTTTGATGAGCAAACCGTCATATTTCCGTGTGGAAACAACTGTGTGCGCTATAACATCAGTCAGAAATGCCAGAAGTTCATTCCAGGTGCGACAAAACTTTATCATAATCTTTATTCGCTTCATATGTTAGGCAATAGGCTTTGTCTATCTATCTAACAATATATCTATCAAAGGTTTGGGGTCAGTAAATGCGTTTTCTTTTTTGAGAAATTAATATTTTATTCAGGATTGATGTGTTAAATAGATACAAAAAAATTATAGTGAAGACATATTATAGAGGAAAAATAGAAGGATTTATATTTCTAAAATATTTCTTTTTGAAAAAGTACTGTACTTTTTCACTTTTTATTCATCAAGGAATTCTGAGGGGGGGGGGGGGGGGGGGGGGGGGGGGTCACAGGTTCCAAAAAATAAAAAATAATAATAATATTGAGCAGCACAACTGTTTACAACATTGATAATAAATCAGCATATTACAATGATTTCTGAAGGATCATGTTCACACTGAAGACTGGAGCAATGATGCTGAACATTCAGCTTAATAATAAAATAGAAAATAAATCAATTCAGCTTATTTTAAAATAGAAAACTGTTTTCTTAAATTGCAATAATATTTCACAATATTCAACATTAAAACGCTTACTGATCCTAAACTGTGTATGTGTGTGTGTGTATTTAATTTTTATGATCATATCTCTGTTTTCAAGTTATATATTTGATACTTACAAATATATATGTAGGTTTGTATAATCAAGTAAACCTAAGTTGCTCCAGTCCAGTAAATGTTTTAATGTTCTCCCAACATTGAAATAAAGAAGTAATATTTTACTATATTGAAAAAAAGAGATAAAGTGAACTACGTTTTAAAAGGTTATATTATTAGTTTAATATATAGTGTTATAGTATTTGTTCTCCACTAATACAGGAATGTTCCTAATGTATTTTTATGCAAAATGTTTATTTTGATTTTGGGATTAAATGTGGTTTGGACATGTCTCTGTGAGAAGAACCCACGTATCTGATTCCTGTGTTTGCACAGGTACAGAGAGAAGTCAGGACATGCAGGCCTTGGCCATCAGCACAAACAGGCGTTATCTGGCTGTGTCTGAATGTGTAGAGAAAGCCACCATCACTGTGTTTGACCTCCAGCACGAGCAGAGCAGGAAGAGGAAAGTGCTGACTGGAGGAGAGATTGCGGTGGACAAGTTTGTCTGCATGGCCTTTTCCCCTGACTCCAAGTATCTGATCGGTCAGGCAGGCGGGCCAGACTGGACTCTCTTCCTCTGGATGTGGGAAAAGAAGAAGGTGATGGCCACTGTGAAGACAAGCACTGATGGCCCCATAAACCAGGTAAACACGTTTAACAGGAAGGTGACTTACAATGGTAAAATTTCAGCTCAAAATCAAAAGACAAAAACAAGAAATTATATTTTCCATACAGAAGATAAAGTCTGTTTTTAGGACCATGGAGACGTTTGGCACTGTGGCATTATTTTCACGACAATTAAACATACCCCTCCCTACCATAAATGAACGTTACAAGTAGTTACTGTTACCGTTTAAAGGATTAATTTCATTTTTTGCAATAGAGTAATGAGAATTGTGTAGGGAAATGTGGGTAATTGTTATTAAAATGGTCAAAAAAAGATAATATGGTCCTAAAAATATTGTTCATGTTCTTCAAACATGAATATAATTTCTTATTTATTTATTTATTTATTTTGAGTCATCACTATCCCTCAATTTAAGATATTATTAAAAATTAGTGTTTCTAAATCTTACATCATATGTAGGAAACAGCGTCATTATTGTCAACTAAAACTATTCCAATATTTTTACTCTTTGAAAAAGCTGCAAGGCTGAAATAATATAGATACAAATTTAAAATTAGAGTTAGTTTTTAAAAATATATAAAAAAAAAAAAATTACATTATTTTAATTAATTAAACTGAACTAAAACTAAACTATAGTTTATATAAAACACTAAATAGTAATAAAATATAAAAATGACAAAATCACATAAAAGGTTACTAAAAACTAAACTAAAAAAGTACAAAACTAAAACTTCAACTAAATGGAAATGTAAAATATAAATAATATAAAATAAAAGCTAATTCAAAATATTAGTGAAACAATAATATTGTATAAATGATACTTATAGGAAATCAAGATTTTGATCAAATGAATGCATATTGAAATATATATGTATAAATTGCATAAAGATCATTTACTATTATTAACTATAATAACTATAAAACTATAAGTACTGATCTGTAGTACATGGAATAAACTTCTGGCATTTCCACATGAAATATGATGATTTGTTCATCAAAATATAACAAATTATTGTAACATTATTTTCAGTTAAGCACACCTATGCTATATCATTACCATAATGCAAATCAACCACATTCATTAATTAAAGCAGCACTATGTAACTTTTTCTGTGTTCAAAATTTGCAAAATGTATATAATGAGCGAGTACATCATGAATTCATCTTCCAAACTGTGTCTTATTCTGAATCACTACGGTACACTTATAATAAGTACTTATATTTGGACTATTGTAGCCTGGTCGGGTCGTCGCCGCTGCGGAGTAACACATACCTGCGTGAATCGCCATAGACATAAACTTAGAGAAGTAGCTCCGGTTGGAATGTTCTTCTGCGGGATGTGTGCAGTTCTGTTTATTAACTGCTAGAGCGCCAAGAGTTACATAGTGCTGCTTTAAACTTTAATTTGGCCGTTAAAAGTCATCCTGTTCGCAGTGATCAAGCTGTCCTAATACACAATCTATCTATTCCCATTTTCAGATCAGCTTCAACCCTGAGGACAACACACAGATCTGTGTGAGTGGCAATGGGGTGTTCAAGATCTTTCGCTATGCTGGAGAAATCCTGAAACAGTCCAGCACATTTAAAACAGACACGCATCACTTCCTGTGCCACACCTGGATGTCCACGGAGCAGGTGATTGCTGGCACAGACGCAGGTCAGCTGATGATGTTTGAGTCAGGCCGACTGCGCTGGGAGATGAATGTGACGCCTGCGCAGAAGGTTTACAGGTGAGTGGAATGAACTGTGACGTCAAGGGTTTATGCTAATTTCAGTTCATACAATACAGGAGAAATCTGTCATTTATCTCATGTTTTCTTAAACCTTATAATGCATTGAGGGGGATTTCTGAAGCAGAATAGTATAGAATATTTATTTATTCGTATAATACAAAATACACCTTACTTACTTAAGTATTTTTAAGAGGAATAAGTATTTAAAAAAATGTCAATTCTGAGTATCAACTGAGGCTTTATGCAAGTTATATCTTTTTTTTTTTGTGAATTAACCAAATAAATTATATCAAATAAACTACAGCTTAAAGGGGTTTACAAAATTTAAAAAGACCAACTGGTCTAAATTTGAAAGTGAAAGGAAGATGCAGCATGAAAAATGTATCATCTTTTCATCATAAAAGTGACATTGTTTGCTAATAAAATAATATATTTTTTTGTTTTAAAACATATCAGAGTAATATTTATGTTGTTAAAAAAGAATGCATAAAATTGTAAGATTTAATTAAATCCATTTCAACTGAATCCATCGATTTCAATTGTTAATACTAGTAGTTCTTATATTTTCTTAAACATTTAATTTAAAAATATATTGAAAAATTTATCATAATTACTGTTATTTTTTAATTTTAGAGTTTAATGAAGAATTTAATGTGTAATAACATTTAGTGGTGAAAATGATGGTTGTGACAATTGCATTTGTAGTATTTCTGTAATATAAATATTATGTAATATTATATATAATATTACATAATGTATCCTAAATACATGCAATTAAATATTTCACACTTTTTGATATTTTTCTTGATTTTTCTTGATTTTCTTCACACCACCACATGTATTTCATCTCAATCGTTTCACTGATGCCATTGCACACATGAATTATTTTTAATGTGACATTCAAATAACAAGAAAGCAATCAAGAAATATACATATAAAGTAATATAATAAAAATCACTGACTGGCGTCTAAAAGAAACACCCAATAATAGATACAGCATGTATATGAGTTATTGAGGACCAATAGTGTCTTATTCCAGTTTATATGCACAGAGCCCTGAGCGTTTTAACTTTCTGGTACATGTAACATATATCTCATTATGATTTATTTATTTATTCATTTGGCAAAACCATGGCTATTAAATCTGCAACATTTTAAAGCCTAACATATAAAATGTCATGAATGTGTATTACTTTGATTTGTGTATGTTGTTCTTGCAGTCAGTCAGAAAAGCAAGACTCTAACGGGACCTTCTCCACACTGCCACGGGTGACAGACATTGTAGCTTATTCTAATGGCTTTGCTTGCTCCGCTGGTCCTGGCACTGTGTGCTTGTTTGAGAAAAGAGAGGAGGAAGACCAGTATAAGAAGACCATCCAAAAATTGACTCTTATGACTGGTTTTGTGGTCCAGGGTCACAATTATATTCAGTGACAGATATATTTTTCTCCAAGCTCTTTTTTTAAGGAACAAGTTGTGATAATCACAAATGTTACATAATTCAGGGTATCCGGACACAGCCACTATGAGCGCCTCCTCCACCATGTTGCCGTCAAATAAAACAGTTGTCATGCCAACTTGCTACTTTAAACAGAAGCTCGCAACGCTTGCCCCGCCTCCGAGTTCTTCTGATTGGTCCATTGCTTTGGAACTGACATTGATGAGCGGCGCTGCGTGTAAAAGTTTAAATTCTTTTAACTTGACACGGCGTCTTAAAAAATGTGGCGCTCATGTGAGAGACGCTGCAAAAGATGCGATCCGCGAGCGTACGGTTATGGAAGGCCAAAAGGGTCATGTGAAATTTCACGTGTTTTTGACCCCTTTGGCCTTCCACGTACGGTCATGCACGTCCGTCAAGCGTGTGTTTACATAGAAAAACAATGGAAAAGTAGCGCATTGGAATGGGAAAAACGTTCTGTGTGAATGGCCCCTTACTGTATTTTTGATCAAACAAATGGAGACTTGTTAAGCATAATAGGCTTCTTTCCAAAACATAAAACATTTTTACTGACTCCTTATTTAAAAACTTGAATGTTAGTGTATTTATTATTTTTACTGAACATATTTAATTGATATTTTAAGTTGACTTTGACAGCCCTAAAATATATTAAAATTCAATGAGTTCTGAGCTGTCAGGGCTTTTGTAGCAGGGTTTGTGTTGGATATTTCCAATAGCTTGAGTGTGTGTTGTCCAGTGTTTTAGAGATGTATAAGGAGTTCCAGGAGGAAGCCTACAGCATAGCTCTTCACCCCACTGGACTCTACATCCTGGTGGGATTCTCAGACAAACTCCGTCTCATGACTCTGCTCATCGATGACATCAGGACTTTCAAGGAGTTCACTGTACGCAGTTGCCGTGAGGTGCGTCTCCACATTGCTCAAGTTTACTATTATCTTTTTATTTATGTATACAACATTGTTCTTGTATAAGCATTGCTATTACCAAGTTAAATTTTTTACATGCCTATACATGTTGTGGATTGACTGTGGTGGCTAATTTTCCATGCGTTTGTCCCCAGTGTGCGTTCAGCAACGGGGGCCACTTGTTTGCTGCTGTCAATGGAAACGTTATCAACATCTACTCCACTACCACATTTGAGGACGTACTGAATCTGAAGGGACACAATGAAAAAGTATGTGTTCTGAAATTTAAATGAAAAGTTCATCCAGAATCGAAAACTCTGTCATCTCTGTTCCAATGCAATGTGTATGTATTTTGTGGAATACGATATCTTTAATGCGGAAATCCACTGCTCTAATTTTGCCTCCCTGAATAGTCTTTAAACAGTGTGTATGTTATTGTGCTTCAGGTGCGGGCTATAGCATTCAGTGCAGAAGACAGTCGTCTTGTGTCATGTGGCATGGACGGGGCCGTGTATGAGTGGAATACTCTCACCGGTGCGCGAGAGTCTGAGAGCGTCCTCAAGACGTGCAGCTACACAGGAGTGACCATCTCCCCTGACGCAAAGACATTCTTCGCTGTCGGGACAGACTGCTCTCTGAAAGAAATCCAGGATTGTCAGGTGGGCACATTCTCAGAAGGCTCATTTGACTCATCTGAGTCACAGACCTGGATTCTGATTGGTATAGATTTACTTTAATGCAGTCATTTAAACACAGGGTTTTTAACTGGTTTTCAATATTCTGTGTATTTCAGAATGTGGTTAGAATGGCTAGTTCACTAAACAGCCTATTTTACCATAGTTTTCTTATTCATATGTTCACATTACTGTGTCACCATTCTGTACAGAGCATAATATTATCATTAAAATGTTTTAAATTCTCAATTTGCTAGTACTATGAATCCAGGACATGACAGAAGGATGTAAGGTAGTTAACTGAGTTAACTAACTACAGACAAACACTAGTTTAGAACAATGTAGTAATGTTTATTAAAGGAATATTATGGGTTCAATACATCTTAAGCTTAATCAACAGCATTTGTGGTTAAATGTTTTGTACCACAAATATTTATTTAAACTTCTTATTCATTTTCTTTAAAAAAAAACAAAAAAATAAAACAATGGAAGTGAATTGGGACAAATGTTTGAATATTTTAAAAGCAGAAATATGAAGCTCATAATTTGATAAAAACACTAACATCATTCAGTTAAAATGTGTGTGTTATTTTTACAGTCATTTAAAGGTTTTAGTGGGTTACAAGTTGTTAAAATTGTATGTAACTTTACACAAGATACATTAGTAAGCAATTTTTTCACACTAAGCTTGCGATTTAAAAGTTTGGGGTTAATTGGGTGAAGTAGATGTATTAAAAGTATTATTTCAAATTTTGTATTTTAATATTTTTTTTAATGTAATTTATTAGAAAAGTTGAATTTTCAGCATCATTACTTCAGTCTTCAGTGTCACATGATCCTTCAGAAATCATTCTAATATGCTGACTGGGTGCTTAAGAAACATTTTATTTTTATTATTATAATCAGTCTTTAAAACTGCGCTTATGCTACATAATATTCTTTGGATTCTTTGATGAATAGCAAGTTTGAATAACAGTATTTATTTTAAAATAGATATTACAATAGTTTTACCTTGACTTTTGATCAATTTAATGTGTCCCTGCTGAAAAAAAAAAATGTCTTTAAAAAAAAGAAAACTTTTCAACAGTATATATGCCTTGTGGCTATATTATTGAAACAATGATTATTTTAAAGTTATGGATTTGCCTCATTCACTTCCTTTGACATGTGCCTCACTGTAACACTTTTTTTTTTAAAGAGAAAGACAGACAA